GGTTCGCTCCCTCTGGGGCACCTGGCATTGGCCACTGTCGGTAGACAGGATACTGGGCTAGATGGACCTTTGGTCTGACCCGGTACGGCCTTTCTTATGTTCTTATTAGAGCTGGTGCTGCCTGGCAAACAGGCAGAATTGGGAAGAGGAAGAGTGGGAGGATAGACCTGCAGGGTTTCTCCTCTCTGCTCCGCCCTTGCTTTTCTCTCCTCTGTTAATGGCTCATTCTAAACATGATTATTTCTCAGCTGCTCAGTGGAGAAGATAATCCGTCGCTGAGAACACTTTGGCTTCTGCTCCAGAGGACCTGAACCAACCCCCCAGAGCAGAAACCCCTTCATCTTTGGGATATTCACAATCCTCTCTTCGGTTCGGGCCCATCTCTAGTTTCTGCTGCCCTCTAAAGGCCTGAGCTGCAGCTCAGATAACCAGCTGGAGAAAGGGAGAAGGAGGATCCCAGGACACTGCAAACTGTACTGTCTACACACCACTTACTGTGCAGACAGAACCACGTCCGTGCCACCCTTAGGGTCCTGATACAGGAATAGAGACTCCTCAGAGCCTGAGTCTTGACATCACAGGATTCAATCACCTGCCTGAACGTACTGCAAAGCCACAGAGAGTCTCCTTCTCCCACCCGCCCTCCGCCAAAACTCCCATCCTCTCATTTTCCCCATTACCCCTCTGCCCTGAGCCCCAGTTCATTGTTATGAAGAGAAGACGCCCCCGTCCTATTCCCCACTCAATAATTGGGCAGGATAGCGTTCCTGGGAAGGCTGGCTCCCCTTCTCTGACTAGGCACGATGCCCTGAGCATACACTCTGCCGCCTGCCGGTGAAACAGAACAAAAACTAGCAGAGAGGGGAGTAATGATCCACGTCTGTTACCGTCTTCCTGGGTGGGAGATCCGTCCTCTTCCTCCATGACATCGTTCCCCTGCGACACAGAAGACAGGCGGTGAACGTGAACAGCAGAGGACTCTCTGTCCAAGAACCCAGAGCTGAGTCCTTCCAACACTGCCAGCCTCCTCTCCATAGGCACACTGGCCACAAACCCATGCTGCCCTCCATCCCCCTGCATTTCCCTAGCTCCCCCAGGCACCCGTAGCCAGACTCACACACCTTTCACTCGGACTCTCCTGAGGGCGCTCAGGATACCCGCTTGGCGCTGTGCCAAGGGACTCAACGGCACTCCGCCCACTCGGGCCAGAGTGAATGTGGCCCAGGCTCCGCAGAACCCAGGCAAAGTCCTGCGCGCCTTACTGAATATTCATCCTCTGAGCTTGTCCCAGAGATAATCTGCATCACTGCCAGAGGATCTCTCATCTCAGTTCCCCCTCCCTCACCCCCCAAGAGCTTGACACTAGTTTCTCCAGCCAAGGCAGACAAGCTAGGACACCGAGTGTCATTATATTCAGGCCACCTACATGGAGCCATTGTGAGTCATCAGCCGAGACAGAACCCAGGGTTAGTGCTGGGTGCAATTTTTCGACTGAAACTTTGGTGGGGTTTTTTTTTTTTGGCAGTGAAAAAGGCAGATTCTGCAGCACCGAAACATTCTGCAAATGTTGACAATTTGTTTCCATTGAAAAAGAGCAGAGAAGAAATTCTGAAAAAAAATCAAAACGTTTGCTTTCAGTTTTTCAGTCTGACGTGCTTGTTTTAAAATTGCCTTTAATTCTATTTTTAAAAAAATTATAAAGCCTAAAAATGCTCCAAACTGAAATGAAAGCCTTTCACGTCAGGCTGAATGGAACGTTTTGTTGGACCAGAAATGGATTTTTTAAAAACTCTGATGTGCCAAAAATTTCATTTTTGGTTTGACCCAAAACGATTTTTTTTTTCAAATTCTGAGTTGCCAGCAAACCAAATCAAATAATTCATTACTCACACAGCTCTACCCAGGACTTTCAGCACAAAAGCACACACCTCTAAAGCTTGAACCAAGGAATAGCTCCGTCAGGTAAGTAGCAAGGCCTTATACATGCTGTGGCAGGTCTTAATTTGTAACGAAAGAGGTGCCAAATTTTTTACTTTCACAGCTGACCTGGCAAGCCCAGAGGTGCCAGGGTTCAGCCCTGGTACAAATTAAGCACTGCACTGGGACCAGCTGCTAGCAACCGGTGTGATCACACACATGAATCCAGTGTATTATGTAGCTCACTGATCATTAGGAAAGGCTGGTGACAAGGTCCTTCCTTCTGAACATAGGTTTTTACCTCCGCGTCTCGCTCCTCCGCAGAGATACTGACAAAATTCCTATCTGGAGATTCCACAGGGGTTGACTGAAAAAGGAGGACAAGAGAAATCAGACAATTCTACTTGCACGGTGTGTCCGTGAATCAATGCAATACGCAGCTAACGTTCTCCATCATCAGGGGCTGCCCGTAGGTAGCTGGGATAATAGACCCCAGCGCTGTCTTTCAGAAAGGTGAAGGCTCACCCAGAGGAAGGCTCATTAGCCGACGTACTCTCTCTATTTGGTGCTGCACAATTGAGCTTAAAAAAAAATATATTTTTCAAGGAAGATTCCAATCCATGTCCCTTGAGCCAAAAAAATATTTCTGAGTTCAATATACAGGGCTTCAAAATTCTAGTTTTGACAGTAATTTTGTCAAGTTGCTGTTTAGGATAACCCCCCTGGGCGACCAAAAAGCTGAAGTTATTTGCATCTGAAGAAGTGAGGTTCTTATCCACGAAAGCTTATGCTCCCAATACTTCTGTTAGTCTTAAAGGTGCCACAGGACCCTCTGTTGCTTTGTATGACAATAACACCTAGAGGCCTTAACTGAGATCAGGGCCCCATTGTGCTAGGCACTGTGCAGACGTACACGGACACAGTCCCAGTGCTGAAGAGCTGACAGTTTCAGCAGATATATAGGAGAGCCTCAGAGGTGCACTGACTTGCCCAAGGCTGTACAGCAAATCTGTAGCAGAGTTAGGAATAGATGCTCTGTCTCCTGACTCCCCGCCGAGTGCCCTACCCCACTGGACCACGCCGAGTGCCCTACCCCACTGGACCACGCCGAGTGCCCTACCCCACTGGACCACGCCGGTTCCAAAAGCCAGTTCTTTTCTACAGTGTTTTCTCTCACACACACTTTTGAAATGGATCTAACGGTTACAAAGGAAAGTGGGAGGAGCAAGGGAAAGGAAAGGAGAAAGGCCTCAGGGCTCCTCTGCCAGAAAGTTTTCCTTTATTGTTTGAAAGCAAAAGGTTTCAGAAAATGACAAACTTAGCTGCTCCAAATTGAAATGACAAACGGGTGCATCATTCACGGCACATGCGTTCCAAAGCCATTAACCTTCTAGTGCCCAGAGTGCTGACCCCAGATGGCGATCAGCTTCTCCCCCAATGCATGAAATGCTTGTAGGTCCACTATACCTACCTCTCCTTCTGAAGGAATCCCACTGGCAGCAGCAGGGGATGGGAGCATGTCCCCCTCTTCCTCTGTGCCCGGAGCGACATAAGAGCCAGACATGGAAGACATGGTGTCGGTGCTGATCTGGGAGTGCTGACTTTGGGAGGAGGCCATGGACATGATGGACTGAGCCAGGCTGCTGCTGCCAGGATCTAGGGAGAAAGGGAAGCGTGGAGAACACAGGGCAGCATTAGAGAGGGCAGAGCAGCTGTGGCTGTGCAGGTCTGACTGCAAAGGAAACCGTTTGCAAGATGGATTCTACCATGACGGGTGTCGATTTTGCACGCTCTCCTTCTCCAAACCCTGGTACTGGCGCCTTCAAGCTGGGTCCTTGCCTCCACGTCCTGTGGCCTGGAGACTGCAGTCGGTAACTGCCTTTTGAACACTTGACAAAGAAACCGCTTGTCTTTCTGGGGGGCTTCTTAACTGCGCCAATGGGAATAAGCTACTGCTGCATGCAATGCCTGCATCAAGCCTACAACTTCGGGGCTGGATGCAGGCATCACTAGGTGAGGCTCTCCAGCCATGTTATGCAGGAGGTCAGACTAGATGATCACCATGGCCCCTTTCTGGCCTAAACATTTCTGAAATCTACAGATGGCGGCGTTTGACCATTAAGATATTAACAAGCCAGCTCAAATCCTGTTCACCTAATTCATGCATTACTCCCAGCCAAGTGCAGACATGACTAAGGCAAGCAGGATCAGACCCCTGGAAGCATCTTGGGACAAGATCTTTGTCCTCTCTTCCTCAAATGCAAAGTGCCACGTGCTCCTATGGTGTTGCATAACGCAGCCATCAGGAAGCCAAGTGACCACTGAAATGCTGCTTGTCCCTCATCTTCTACTGTACCTTCTGGGGAGGAGATGGTGGAGGAGAGAGGGGTTCCTGTGCACGAAGACTGATCTATTGCTCCCGAGGAGGACAAGGTGAGGTTTTCACTCTCTGGTGTCATACCATATTCCTGGAAGGAGAGCAAACACACCAGAGTAAGAGGACGACACGCCCCTGCAGATGAAGCAACTGATCGTAATTTGGTACTTTTCAAGGCATTTAGGGCTCCTGGCAGTTTCTGAATTGGTAGTCCTGGAGATTAAAGTCTTTGAAGCTTCAGGACAATAAATAGAGCAGGTATCTTCACAATGTCCCACTAACATGCCTGTTCTCCAAGGGCCACCTCTAGGGGGCAGAAGGGTTTTTAACTCTTGGTGCTCATTCCGCCTTTGGCCTTGCTGATGAGGCTGCCAACAAGTGAGCCAATTATCAGAGTGCTTTTTTGCAGCATGGACCCCCTGCACATTAGGACTAAAACTCTCCAACTCCTTTCACATTAGCCATCAAACTGCTAAGAGATTCTGATAATGGACTGATGTGGACACCTTTTCGAATGCACTGGAGAATGGGAACCCACCAATGAGTGAGCCGGAGGCTTTCGGGCCATGCACGACAGATTGGTTGATCACCAACAGACTCCACTACTGATCTTTGTGGAGACAGCATCCTCTATCCCTATCGGTCAGAGAGCCAGGCTGAGAGACAGGAGTTCTCGAGTGATATTCCCAGCCCTACCACTGACTTGCACTCTATGACCTTACTTCACCTGTTACCCATCTATACAAGGGGGCTAATATGGACCCACATCACATGGGGATCATGGGGGTCTGACTCAACCTGCAAAGTGTTAGATAGCAGGGGCTGTGAATGAGAGGCTAATTAATGACTCTGCCCAGAAAATGACTGTGTAAAAATAGCACCTACTTATTTAACAGATCTGCCCTGAGAGGGCATTCAGAGTCCAATCTACTAAGTCTCTGCTGTGTTTTACTGCCATCAGCCCAGCAGAACCAACACAGCTCTGGGACAACCAGCAGGATCCTTTCCTGCCTCTGGTCGTATCAGAAATATTAACTGCACTCCGATTCCAAGGTCACCTGCGCATCCCCTGCCTCTTCAAATTATGCCCCCAGTTAAATCTGTGCAAGCCCAGAGGGCAACAGGGCTACACGGGGGTAATTCAGAGCGGACAGCACTTGGCTGAAGAATCTTCATTGCTGGCGACGATACACAAGAAAGAAAGAGCCCAGCTTGACTCTCAGATCCCCGGATGAGTTTGCAGGGTTGCCAGTTAGAAAAAAAATAACACAGCTTTGCTTGCAAACTGGACTCATTTTATACAGACTGCAGAACAAAACAAACACGGAACTCCAGAATGCCAGTTCCATGGGTCTCTTTGCTGAGTAGACAGCTAAACCAGAACCCCTGTTAAATAATCACCTCCTCATGCTGATGAGGAGACTTCCTCCTGGTAATCCTGATTTCTGATTCACTGCAGGACTTCTCATCATCTTCTTCGTGCAGGACCGAGGAAGTCTGGGAAACTGACCTAGCAAGAAGGGGAAAGGAGCAGCCTGTTAACTTACGATTGCTCCAGTGATTTCACTAGCACAACCCACGCTGTCAACGCAACTGGCTGCAGCCCTCCACAGGAAGCCACTGCTCCAGGAGCGGGCCAGTGGAGGGTGTAACAGTTGTAGCTGCAGTCATGTGGCAGGGGTGTTAACCTTTTGTAGCCCAGACCCACATCAGGTCTCTGGGGCACCTTTAATGACATTCAGAACGGCAAGGTAAAAAGTGGTATTTACATGGATCAGCGAAACAAGCATCTTTTCCTTCGCCCTGTTCTCTGTATGGGGTCCTCCTCCCATCTGTCCTGCTTTCTGGACCAAAAATCTGTCCCCAGTTATACCGGGATAAATCCAGAGCTGTTCCACTGGGGTGCTGCCCCCACTCCAGCTGAACCCAAATAGGAGCTGAGGGTGTTTGACATCCGACAGGACCCAGCCCTTAGCCAACACTTGGGGTTCCTTGGCATTGGCACATTCATCCTTCTACTGCAAGTCTCCACCACAGCATTTCTGCCAAGAGCCAACGGTCCCCTGGAGAATCAGGATGCAACAGACACCTGAGGCAGCACTGAGGGGATGGGGGAGAAGATGTTTCTCCTCCAGCACGCTAGGCAGTACCACACCATTAGGGAAGAAGCACAGGACAGATAGGACCCATCAGGGGAAGATCCCGGGGCCTGATGCAGAGCCCGCTGAAGTCAATGGAAGGATTCCCATTGGCACCAAAGGGAGCTGGATCAGGCCTTCAGAAGTACATGGCTTTACTGGATGTGGGCCCGATCCTGCCATCCCTGCTCTGCCCTCCCCCAGTGGGTATTTTGGAAGCTAAGGGCTGGGGACTGGACCCTACGAGGAAGCTTAGGCCAGAGTCCCTCTTCCTCTGGCTGCAAGAGCCTCCGGTAACGTGCGGAAGGGAAAGGTGGCGAGTGACTTACTTTGATAGGCTCTTCTTGAGTTTGAGCCCTTGGCTGCCACAGTCCGACAAGCGGTCAAGGGGAGAGAGCGTCCTGATGGGAGGCAGGTGGCTGTCGCTGCCATACGACGGCAACATCCCTGCCCCGTGGCTGTCCCCAAGCCCGTGCAGCGGAAGGGCGGCCGGGGATGGAGTGAGGGGCCCGTTGAGAGCTTCCAGCAGAGACACTACCTCGTAGCCAGGAGGGATGTTCTCAGAAGACTACAAGGAGCAGAGACAGGCCTGGGAATGAGCATTCAACAGCCCATGTTTCACAACACAACTGCCCCCTCCGCTCCAGGCAGGGCAATTCATTCCAAAGCGGCGGCCTATAGATACGGAACTTGGTGGCCAGGAATGCAAGGGCCCCAGACCAGCGCTTGGAGGGAGGCATAGAGCAGGCAAGGGCTGTACAAGCTTCTACCGCACCCTTCAGCCCCCTACTACGCTAGCCCTGCGCCCCTCCTCAGCTTTGCCAATGCACCTTCAACCTGAGCTACAACGTCCCTGACTAGTCCAGCCCCGGATTCCCCAACCCGCACAGCTCTGCCAGTGCACCTTGTTCCTGGATGTTGTGTGAGTTCAGCACTCCCACAAGATCAGGCTTGAAAGTGGAAGGAATTCCCCTTCCTGGGTTATCCTTTGTTTAGAAGCCTGGGAGCTGTTTTGCATCCCAGTGACTATACACCGTGGGGAGTAACAGCGGGATCAAGACTAAGCACACGAGGGCTGATGGGTTGGCTTCTCTGGTCAATACTCACCGAGTGCTCCTCAGAATCGGACGTTTGGGAGGCGATGATTGGGCTGAAGCTGGTTGGAGAGAGAGGGCCAAGTTTTTTCCTCATTGCTCGGATCTGGAGCAAGGCTCGGAATGCTGAACAGTGGGGAGAGGGGAGGGAAGGATACAGAAAGTTCATTTCTAATATAACAAGCGGGAGACCCAACCCCCCCCCGGAGAATGCCGCTTGTTTTCATAAGAGCTGTTTTATTTCTTCTATTCCACCCTAGTGAAGGCCATACAAAATCGTCCGGATGGAACTGGAGGTTTTTGCATTTGTTCAGGATTGGAGGTTTTGCATTTTGTTGAAATTTCACACATTTTGTGTAAAACCTGCAAAATTTCAGGTTTTTCCACCTTAAAAATAAAGCTGTTTTCGGTGGGGGGGAAAAAATGACGTGTTCATCACTCAGGACAGATCTATTTTCAAGCAGGAGACACTAACATTTTCAAAATTCCAAACGAAGTTTTGGTCAAAGATTTTTGCCCCAGAATTTGCAAAAAAAAAATGTTGAATTTTGGTATTTTTTTATCAATGCCAAAACCTCATTTCACAAAATTTTGAAAAAAATAAAAACCAAAAACCCACAAACAATGCAGGTGCAAAATTTCTTGAAATGAAATTATGAATGGTGCTGTAAAAATGATAGAAAGGGGTTTTGCATGGAGCTACCTCTAACACCAGGCAGATGACGATGTCTGTCAACGCACTAGCGATTCCATTAGACCCTCAGTGCTTCCTAGATTCAAGCCCTTATTCCAGACCAGCCAACTCTTATTCACTAGTTAGGAGCAACTGCTCTCATTCCCTAGGAAAAGGCCAGTGCCAGCCAATCTCAGCTCCATGCACAGAGGCATCACATGAGCAGTTTGGGTGAAGCTAAGAGTTTTGTCTTGCTTGAACTCCATGTGTAGCGTGTGCAAGACAGATCTTCCCAAGCTAAAGAGTAAGCCAACTTGGGACAATGCCCCCCCTCAATCGTCCCCCATAGGAATCAGTCCTCTTCCACCACGGGATCTGAAAAGAGCCCCGAGCCTTACGCAGCCTGCAGATGGGGCAGTTGTTGGCTTGGTAACGCAGGGTGTCCGCACAAGTGTTACAGAGGCAAAGATGGCGGCAGGGTAGAATCAGAGTGTCCCGCACATCCGAGAGGCAGACCACGCACTCGGCGCTGTTATCGCTCACCTCGTCCTCAGCCACCTGGGCAGGAAGAGAGAGAATGAGCCTCTCGAGCGGGGCGTGGCACAGTGGGGCTCTGCAGTGGGAGAAAGCCGTGCCCTTGGAGTGGCTGCTATCGCAGTGGGAGCCTGCAGCAGCCCTGGCAGCTCCTGTTCTGCAGGGGTCAATGGCTCACAGATCTGCAGAGTGGTAGATCAACTGGCCCACCTCAGCCCTTAACCCGCTGCCGCCCAAACACGCAGGGAGCCCCGAGGAGCTATGCCTGGGGCTTCCCTGTGCAGCTCCCACCAATCCAGCATTGCACCAGCTCCACAGCAGCTAGGGTCCTTGACAGGCAAGGAGTCACCCCAGAGAGTCACCGCAGCCCTATGTGGAGAGACAATTTAACAGGAAGGCCCATGGAAAAGAGCGTCGGTACTCGGGCTTTTTACCTCCAAGGGCCTTGGTTCAAATCCTTATTGAACATGAGCCTGGAGATCTCCCCCTAGTGCTTATTGGGTGGAAAAGGCATTAAGGTGGGTCCAGGATTGGACCAGAGCAAGAGGAGGGTGACTGAGTCTGGAGTGCTGCGAAGATGGGATAAGCCTGGGATTGCTGCGGGCACTGCTGGCCAGGCCTGAGGGGCACTGGCCACGCAGTGTGGGGAACCCAAGACTGGGATAGCAGGGCTAGCTGGAGCATACCATTGTGGAGCAATGGCAGCGCTGGGCCAAGGCCAATGCACTGTTCTATAAACTCCCGATTCCTGAGAGTGCTAAACAGTCACTGCGTTAAGTTAAAGTGGAAGAGGAGAGATGTGTCCTCCAAAGAGAACGGCAACTAAGGAGGGCACCTCCCTTTCCCAGGACCTGCGCCCCACCCCCGGGGGACACACCCTTACCTTGGAGTCCTGCGTGTTGTATTTGTTCTCGATCCCATAGATCTCCTGAAGGAGGTAGCTAACTCCATCCACCTGGAACCCACAGATACGGGGAAGTCACATGGGCGATGCAGAGTTACACTGGTGCCGCCACGCCAGCTCATTTCAGGTAGTCTCCTTGGGACGGCCTCTTTCTAAGCCTTCCCGTTCCCCATCACGTGAGGAGGGACCCCATCCCCACAACCCCACTCCCAGAGCCCTACGCTGGGTGCAGGCTGTCTCTATGCATGCCACACCCCTGCTGCGAAGGGGACATCTCATCGCACCAGTGATTCTAACAGACCCGCAATCCTTCCTGGATTCAAGCTCCCATCCAGGCCAGCCCACCGGCAAGGAACAACTGCCCCTCAGCCCCCAGGACCAGGCCAGTGCTAGCCAGCCCCAACCCCACATACACTCACCACTTGTTTCTGCTTGAGGGGCTTCACACAAAAGCTACCATCTGCATGCTGGAAACAAGGAAATTGTACTCCAAGTTAATCCAAAGCAACCATAGACGCTAGAGGGAGGGAAGGGAGCTGTGGTGTATTTATCACATGCTGTATATTGTGACACCTGTAGCTAGGCTTGGCAGGATTAGATAGTGATCAGTAAATGTCAATTTCACACATGCACATGCAAACTGATGAAAAAATGTTGCCATTGATAATACTGGAAATGTACAGAGACGCAAAGTCAGGAAATGCTGCTTAAGAACTTCTTAGAGGTTGATTTAAGGCTATTTACTTTGACTATTTGGACATGTGATGCTGACCATTTGTGTTTTAATGGTTGTAAAGCTTTTACTTTTTGAATCTCAACGCCCATGGTAATTAAATAACGATTGTCTGAGCCATCCCATTGTCTGCCCCCCCCCAATAACTTCCCACAATCGTGAAAATATGGATAAATAGATAAAAATGGTTAAACCCCCTAATTATGCACAACGGTGAGAATTTACTTTGATAAACATTGAAATAAATGCTTAAAAATAAACATCATCTGTCAAAATGATAAAAAAAAACAAAACAAATTCAGCCAAGCCTAACCATGTAGACGTCCAACAGATTCTCCATTAACCAGCTGATCTTATATCAAGATTGCTCTCTCTTTCTCCATGTATGCAAACACCAGTTTATCAATCTATAGTAAAGTTAGAAATGTACCACAGGAATATGCAACACAAAGGCCCCTCCAGTGCTGTTTCAATGGATTAGACATTGTGACCGAAACTTTCCAACTTGAGGGCCTAAAGTTAAGCTCTCAAATCAATATTCAGGCAAATAATAAATAAGCAGCCTGGATATCGGGCTCGACACCTCAAAAGTTAGATCATTTTTTGCCCTCAGGGCTTAAACCCAGACTTAGGTGCCTGCCTTTTGATTTCCACGTGTGGCAGTTTGTCCTGTGGGTCCTGCTGACCCATCCAGGCTGGGAGGAAAGGGGTTAAACGGCCCACTCCACTGGACAGGAAAGCCAGACTGTATGGTACATGGACCTGACCGAGACTCAACACTCACCTTCTCAAACGTTGCCAGCAGTACGTGGCAGTGGCCGAGGTGCTCTGCAAGATACAAAAGGGGCAGGGCCGAGAGGTAAAAGGGATGCCCTGCAGCTGGGAATCCGGGTCACTGCCCCAGCGCCCATTGCAGGAGTGGGATACGGAACACCACATCCAGCTGATCTGGGGCAGGAGCACTGCCTGCTGGGCACTGCAATGGGAAAAGCAGAGGGGGGAAGGGTGCCATGTTTGGATACAGGGAAGATGACACGTTCCCCCCGCACAACCCAAGGTCAGGCAGGAGGAACCGGTCAGTCTCTTCTCTCTAACTCCTACAGACTGGAGGCAGGGGACTGCTATGGGTTAGCACGTATGTGAGCTAAGCTCCTAGGGCATAACACCCAAGGCCCATATGGGACTGAGACGACTGCTGCAAAGCCCGGCTCGTCCCCATGGAACCGTGACGCTGTTGCAAAGCTGCAATGCGAAGGCACGAGGATGTAAGGGGAATGAACTGGGAATGCCAAGGGCCAAACTCCTCTTTGGGGTAACTTCACTGACTGCAATTCATTTGCCCTGTGACCTTATTAGAACCAGCCTATTTCCCACCTCTCTGACACAGCATCATCCAGAAAACCGGTCTGTGACATTTTAAAGCACTGCACAGACTTCAACTGGCTAATCCTCCTAGCTCCCCTGGGGATGGTATCCCTACTGTGTGATGGGGAAACGGAGGCATGAAGAAGCCGAGTGACCCAGCGGGTCAGTGGCAGAGCAAGAATTAGAATTCAGGAGGTCCTGGCTCCCAGTCCCCCAATCCATGCTGACTCCCTCTAGATCATATTGGTCCCTGGGCAAGAACGGTCTCGGAGACAGCCCAAATCTTTTCGTGCCGCACACTGGAAGGTTCACAAGGAACAGGAACGTGTGGGTTATGAAAGGACACGTCTTCCATTGCATCTGGGAGGGCCCCTCACTCTGCACGCTGCTCCGCTCAAGGGCACTCCCCAGGGGCAGGACAAGGGCTTTTAACAAGGCAGCGCTGGAAGCCTGGGTCCATGTCAGCCAATTCCTGAGAGTCTGGAGAGACTCCAGTGGGCTAAGGGGAAAGGCTCATGTCGGCACCCAAATCTTCCATAGAAGTGAGGTTCCTACCAAGAGCGCCCAGGCAGAGTTCCTGGCCTGTTTGTGCTGGTGGGGGCCTGGCCTGTGCTCCCAATGAGAGCTGCTGCTGTTATAAGCCAGAAACCATCCACTTCCCCAGGAGAAAGCTGAGCCCTGCCCGGGCTCCTTATCTGGGCTAGAGAAAGTGTAACCACCTTATTGAGTGACCTTTATAAAAACAGAGGACAAATATTTATAGGGCAAGATAAGGGGGTCCCAGCTGGAGCGCAGGGGAAATGCATTTCCTTGGATTCAGAATTAATTCCCTGATAGCCTCCAGTGCCACTTAACTCTGCAAGACGGGGCCGGGGGAGGGTCTACAACACCCCCAGCCATCTCCATACAGGGCCTGATCCTGCAGAGCGCTGCGTGCCCTAGATTTCAATGAGGGCAGAGGACACTCAGTGTCCAGGGTCAGGCCCGCTATGGAGTTCTCAGGACTCACTTTCCTTCCCCCAGGGCCTGAGCCAAAGCCCACTGGTGCCAAAAGGAAGCTTTCCATGACTTCAGCGAGCTGTGCATTGGGCCCTCGAACAGAGTGCTCAGCGGGGTCCTGAGCCCTGAACTGAATATCAACCTCAAAGGCTCGAGGGCTCCTGGCCAGGATCGTTCATTAAAATCCCCTCCCTTTTCCAGTTTAAATGAAGCGGCTGCAGGATGTGCCGCGCTGCAGCTCCATGCCTCCGGGTGTACGTACGGCTGGATATGGCCTTTTGTTATTATTTAATGTTTACATTTCCGTGATATTTAAAAGAGCCTGGCCAGGCCGGGCCCCCTTGTGCTAGGTGCTGTACAAACATAGCATAAAGGACAGGCCCTGCCCCAAAGAGCTGATAATCTCAAAGGCCTTGAGGATAAGGCTGAAAAACTGCTGCCGAGGAATCAATAATGAGCCTTTATTTTCTCTCTCCAGCAAGAGCAAAGTAAATCCATTTATCAGGCCAGCTGGGCCGTCTTGTACCAGCACAGGGGACTGGAGCAACACACACGTTCAAGAGCAGATGCTGAAAGTTCACTGCGCAAACGGAGGCTGCATTGTAAGAACACAGGCACCATCTGCAGGGCAAGTCGCGCGGGGCACCAGAGCCTTAAGGCTCATCCACCTCGCTGCGGACGTAGGGAAATGAAGCCCTGCAATCCCAAGGGTCTGTTCCTACCATCTCCCTCGTCCACGACGGCATGCACCACCATGGGATACACCTCTCGGTCCAGGTCAAAGCCCAGCTGTAAAGAGAGGGAGAGAGAGAAGGAAACGTGTGACTATTGCAGGTAGAGTCACTGAGCCAGATTCTCAGCTGGTATAAATCAATGCAACTCCATTGACTTTAATGGAGCTACACCGATTGACACCAGTCGCGGGAGCCAGCCCAGTGATGCAAATGGTCCCATGTCGATTTACACCAGCTAGGGATCTGCTCCATTACAGCGAACACACCCTTAAGAGCAACAGAGGGTCCTGTGGCACCTTTAAGACTGACAGATGTATTGGAGCATAAGCTTCCGTGGGTGAATGCCCACTTCGTCGGATGCATGTAATGGAAATTTCCAGGGGCAGGTATAAATATGCTGGCAAGAATCAGTCTGGAGCTAACGAGGTAACCACACACCGCACCATAACAACTCTAACTCAGGAACCAATCCATGCAAAAAACCTCGATGCCAACTCTGCCCACATATCTACACCAACAACACCAGCACAGGACCTAACCAGATCAGCTACATCATCACCGGCTCGTTCACCTGCACGTCCACCAATGTTATATATGCCATCATGTGCCAGCAATGCCCCTCTGCTATGTACATTGGCCAAACTGGACAGTCACTACGTAAAAGGATAAATGGACACAAGTCAGATATCAGAAATGGCAATATACAAAAACCTGTAGGAGAACACTTCAACCTCCCTGGCCACACAATAGCAGATGTAAAGGTAGCCATCTTACAGCAAAAAAACTTCAGGACCAGACTCCAAAGAGAAACTGCTGAGCTTCAGTTCATTTGCAAATTGATACCATTAGATCAGGATTAAACAAAGACTGTGAATGGCTATCCAACTACAGAAGCAGTTTCTCCTCCCTTGGTGTTCACACTTCAACTGCTAGCAGAGGACCTCACCCTCCCTGATTGAACTAACCTCGTTAGCTCCAGACTGATTCTTGCCAGCATATTTATACCTGCCCCTGGAAATTTCCATTACATGCATCCGACGAAGTGGGCATTCACCCACAAAAGCTTATACTCCAATACATCGGTTAGTCTTAAAGGTGCCACAGGATTCTCTGTTCCTTTTTACAGATCCAGACTAACACAGCTACCCCTCTGATACTTGACACCCTTAAGAAGTGCCCAGGGACGTTTCTCTGCAGTGAAGGTGTGTGTAAGACACGGACGCACAGAAATAAGCACCTCACGGCTCTCAGCTCCTCACAGCTCTCACGCTGCTATGGTGCCATTACATCTTGGTACATCCCAGGTCCCGGGATGTGAAGGACCCTCAGTTTCACGTAAAGCACTGACGTTTACTCAGTAGCTCTATGCAACTACAAATCTGTCACTGCTTACCCACATGCAAACCGTTCATAACACAAGTCCCTCCTCCCCCACCCCCACCATATTCTAACAAGGACCATGAACAGAACGTACCAGACCATGCTACTTTTCGGGTGCATCGGAGCGAAGGAGTTAAAAAGCCTCTCTTAGTCATACAGAACCAGTCACTGTAGCATCTAGGCACCGACCCTTTCTCTAGGGTGAGAAAGACAGGATTCCACCCACAGAGCTAATTCTGCTCTCTCCTTTATGGGGTACAGTTGCTGATGCTTGGAATGTTTTCAGGGTCTTTTTCAGTTCCATGTATTGTTAAAGGTCCCCTGTTTTTTTACTATTTGTTTTGAGCCTCATAGAATGAAGAGTGGGTTGTTTTCCACCCCTCTGTGGCACAAGTTTCTTGAAAACTCATTGGCTGACCCTTGCTCATTACCTCTGCATTTTGGCCCAGGCCTCTTCCCTGTTAGATCTGACTACAACTACCGGCCAATAATGGATGAAGAAATCACGGCAGCATGTGGAAAAGCACTAGGTTGTGATGGAATACTGGCTGAATTGTTAAAAAGCATCGGGGACAAAGGCTTGAAAGCCCTGTCAGAGGTAAGGAGGAATGTGTCAGGCAGGAGAATTGCCAGAAGTCTTCACAACATCACCACATGCGTCTGACGAAGTGGGTATTCACCCACGAAAGCTTATGCTCCAATACGTCTGTCTATAAGGTGCCACAAGACTCTTTGTTGCTTTTTACAACATCACTGTGTACCCAAATCCCCCCAAAGGCTGCCGCCATAGATTGTAAAGCCTACAGAACAGTCAGCCTACTGTCTCATGCCTCTAAGATACTTTTGTGAGTGGTTCAAGGCCAAGTACAAGGAAAAATTGATGAGGAAATAAGTGAAAGAAATAACAGCTTCAAACGTGGAAAAAGCAGGATAAACACTATTAGGGACATGAGGTGGACATTAGCAAGACCGGCTGAAACTGGGAAAACAGTACACTTGTTTCATTGACTTCCAAAAAGCATGTGACAGCACCTACCACTACAAATTGCTCAACATATGAAGATTTGTGGGGATTGACGGATATGAACTCCAAGTAATAAAACAATGATACGGGAATCAGAAAGCAATTATAATGGGAGATGGAAATGAAAATCGAATAGAGATCAAGAGAGGCGTAAGACAAGGTTGTTATGGCAACTTTACTCAACATTTATAGTGAGTGTTTGATTAAATTAATCTAAGAAAGAGAAGGAAAATAGGTAAATAGTATTTGCTATGCAGACAACACACTGCTGTTGATTCAGAAGAAAGTTTGATGAAATTAGTGGCAATTATATATGAAGATGACAAGGATTATGATCTAGAGTTGAACATGCATGAGGCCAGTGAACAACACAGTTGTACAGCAAGTGAGAAATTATTGCTACTTAAGAAGCATCATTACAGAAGACAGAAGATTGGATACTGAAGTTAGCACCAGAATAGCAAGAGTGGAAGAGGCATTCTGGAAGAATAAACATAAGTTGAGAAGGGACATAAACCTGAAGACTGAATTTTGACTCTTAACTTACATTTGATGCGTTAAATTATGGCTGTGAAACATGGACATCCAAACAATTGATAAGAAAGAAACTAGAATCCTTCCAATCCTGGTATTATAGAATTTTGAAAATATCACCGATAGACCACGTAACCAACTAAAAGTATTGGAGATGCTTGGAACTCAGCAAACACTAGCCAGAGATCTTATGAAAAGAAACATTTGATTTGCAGGGCACATTTTAAGAGATTTAGCTGGCAACGCGTGTTTGCGGGCACCAGCAGGGAAAGTCGATGGCAGAAGAATTTGAGGCAGAAAAAAGATGACCGTGGATGGACGATGTGGTATCCTGAGAGGATCAAAAGGACTATCCATCTGCAAAGAGATTAGCAGAGGATTGTTCAGAACGGGCTACCATGATTGCAAACCTCCGGTAATGGAGGTGCCACACAAGCAACAGAAGGACGACTATATGGTTGCAAGGCACTTTGATACCTCTGCAGCTCAAGGGTATGCATATCTCTCGCTACAAAACCAGATTCTATCCGTGCTGAAAACAAAGGACACATGACCCCAGTTCAGACTCTAATGGAGCGGAGCCATGCAGCTCTACAGCTTTGGAGAACGCTCTCCTTACCTCTCCGGGGTTCAGCAGCTTTGAAGGGCTCCACATGACCCTGCTTTAGCTGGTTTATTTTAAATCAATGCTATTGATCAGTGATTCCCAGCCACTGGTTCATCACTAGCACTGGTCCCTCAGACTTTTGTGACTTGCTTTCCAGCTTCCTCCTCTCTTTACTTAGTGATGAACCTTGCGCTGGCTCCCAACATGCCACTGCCACCCACGTTCCACTCAGCTGTGTGCACTGCCCAGGAGCTGTTCCAAACCACAGAGCACATCCCAACGGCTGGGAGTTACCCACAGGGGCAGCCCAGACCTCGGCGGGTGTGTCTGACCAAGAAGAGCTTACAAACTGCGTCTCGTGGCTTCTGGCCGGGCTGGCTTACCTCCTCTTCTGCCCATTCGGAAGGATCGACGGTGTGGGAGGGGACGCAGAACTGCTGGCACACCCCTCGTTTGTAATGGACCGTCTCTGACTGCAAGCTGGTGTCTTTGGGGAGGTAGCTGCCAATCAGAGGACAGAGTTAGTGCCCAGGCTTTGCATTCTCACCATCCTTTCCGCAGTGCATTGGCTCACCCCAGCGAGGAGCGCTCCCGAAGAGCAGAGACAGGAGCCGCCTCCTCCCAGGTCTTCTGTGAGAAACCTGGGTTTGGTCCCATCAGTCCCTATCCAAGGTGGCTGAAGGCTGGTAGTTGAAGGTCAAAGGTATTTCAGACATGTTTTGATGTCCCACCAGCCATCCGGGATGGGGAGAGATCAACATGTGGCCACTCCCCTTGGCAAGGTGGGGACACTCTGTCAAGGCCTAACGGTCCTGCAGGGGGCCACCTGCTTAGCACACCTCAGCCTTGTGTAAGGGGAAGCCCAGCAAAGGAACATCTCTGAGCCCAAACTCCTTTCTCTCGGGTGCCCTCCGCATAGAAGTGGAGGCGGGACGGGATGAGACTCAGGCAGTCTAGGACTCTCAACTCACTGGAGAGAAATAAAGCCTCAGGGGGCGCTGGGCTGGCCAGGACTCCTGCGGGAGGCCATGGTCTCGGACAGGCTTTGACACCTGGGCTGAGGAGTGTGGGGAGCCCACCTCTAATCTTCAACGGCAGCAAAACTGAATAAGCTGTACTGGGAACCACCTCTGGCAGAGCTGTCCCAGTGCACTGGGCTTCTCACTCCCTGGAGCAACAATCCTCCCGGGCAGTAACAGAGGGAGAGCTGTGCTCAGGCCTGGCTCTATGGGAAGCCGTACTAGCCAAGGGCTGGGGGGAAAAGCCCCACTCCTCAGCCCCCCTGGTTTATGGAGGAAATGCCTCCCCCGGAACCTCCTGCACTCCTCTCACCTGGCTACTCCGTTCTGGAATTCTTCGGTAGCCTGGTAATAAAGGGTGATGGCCACTCGCGCGTCAGTGTCAAAGGTGAACTCCACGTTGTAGTGGACCTTGGCTTTGCTGACTTCCTCGCCAGGGGTCTTCACTTCCTCCGTGCACCTGGCAAATCACAGAAGGAGACAGAACTTACCCCAGATCCAGAAGCCCATTAAACGCCCCCCGTGAAAGGCTCTAGAGCACAATGTAACTACTCTGGGGAAAAACTAGAGATTCCATCCCCTTCCCTCTGGAAAAGCCAATATGGGGCGGAGCTGCATCCAAGGACCGGCACTGGCCAGACAACAAACCCCAGCCATGTCCAAGAAGAGCAGACACCAGCAACTAAAAGGCTGCCAGGGGGATGAAGTGGTCCCCAGTGCTGTGTAACAATGTTACTGCCAGAGACTGTATAAATCCAACCACCCGACAACAAGAATCCGCTTCCATCCCATCCCCCCATGCCTCGGCCAGTGCGAGGTCTGACACTGCCCAGCAAGCGAGGGCAAGAAGCTTTTTGAGAGTGGGGATAGGGGGTGGAAAAATCAGCTTAAAATCCGAGGCTTTTCTGAGCTTTGGGCTGGATCCAAGGGCCGTGTATAGAAGCCCCATAGAGAGCAAACAGCTGGAGTCTTTCAAGTCGCACTGGGCAATTCGTAGGAGACCCAGGCCAGCGGATCAGTAGCTTTAGCTACTGAGTGACCCGGCAGAGGGAAGGGCTTGACTCCTGGGAGAAAGGAGGCTCAGGCCCTAGGGGTAAGGAAGGGTGACTCCTCGTTAATGGAAGCTGGAGTCTGGCCTGGCCTTTCCGTTCTACTCAGTACAGAGGACAATAGAGGAAGATGGATGGATGGCAAAGTGGTCCAGAAACCTGAATTCAACCCCCTGCTCCCCCTCTGACCTGGAGCAATTCTTGTAACCTCTCCATGCCTCAGATCCCCATGTTACAACAAGGGTAACAGCCCTGCCCGAGCTCCCAATGGTGTTGTGGGGCTAAATCCATTAACCCTCGAGAAGCGCTCAGAGGCTCCGGTGACTGGGGCCAGGGACGTGTCTAAGACAGATAAAAGGTGCCATGGACAGTGCTCCGATTGGAGGGGGACTCAAATGTAAATCTGAAGTAACACCATTACCATCAGAGTCACTCCAGATGTACATCGGTGGAAACGAGACCGCCCCCTGGCCCAATGTCAAGAGGAGAACGCTTGTGTTGGATGAAAGGGCAAAGTAGCGACTCACTGGATTTGTCTGGTCTGTTTCCCCTCCTCGGGGATTGTGTGCGCTCTCCGGAGCCGGTGCTATTACCCCTGGCATTGTTCACTGCAACGAAACCCACATTTGCATTCCAAGACCAAGCTCAGCCTCTGTTCATTCTGAATGGCTCTGCCTCCATGCCTGGGCGTATGTGCTGCTGGGAGGAAAGTTAGCCCAGGGGCTGGGCCAGCCAGAGATGTAAAAGACAGCAGCGCAGGAGGCAGTCCACAGAGGAATAGGCAAATGCGGCCGGCAGGAGAGAAGCAGTACACTCTAGATGCTGGACGGCATTTAGAGCCCAGTTTTGTGCCAAACTCCGCACTGTACAAAGAGCGGCCAACATTCTTTAGTTGAGATTTGCAGTTTAGCCTCTGGGGGGAGCAACTGAGGCCAAGCTGGAGGTGCCCACTTTTCCCAGATGCAACAGCTCTCGATCAGTGACGCTCTATAAAACCCGAGATGAACGAACATTAACTCTGCCATGGCTCTGAGACTCAATCGACAAACTGCAGCCACCCTTCTGAGCCTTTTCTAGCACCTTCCGTCCTCAGCTCTCAAAGCACCTGCCAAGCGCCGATGGACTAAAACCTCTCCTTGCCCCGGTGTGGTAGATAAATATCATCACCCTCAATGAACAGAGAGCAAAGCTGAGGGACAAAAAAGGAGAAATGACTTGCCCAAGGTCACGCAATGAGTCAGTGGCAGAACTAAGCCCAGAACCCAAGTCTCACTCCTTCTCCTCTGCTTTAATCACTAGACCACATTCCTACTCTTCCTTCTAATAAAGCCATTTGGAACAATAACTGCAAAGGCAGCAGTAAATTCCACGTAATCCATGGACAGGATACAGAATGTTCCAGAACTCCCTTTGTTTGCCCAGCAGGTTAGCGATCTGCACGAGTGACTCGTGCGCGCTGGGAATTTGGAGGAAGCAAGAGAAAAACAAGTTTGGTAGAGACAAAAAGCTGGTGCCGTGAAGTGTCAGTTCCACCTTTAACCCATCTCCACTCAGCTTTTGGGAAGTCACAGGTTCGTACCTCCCGACAGTCAAGGGTTTTGCCGGACTGTCCTGCTTAGACCCCCCAAATTCCCGGCCTGGTGGGAGCAGAACATTTCCCATGCTAACCTTGCCACGGTCCCAGGGCCGGCTTTAGGAAGTGTGGGGCCCAATTCGAACAGTTTTGACAGGGCCCCCACAGGGATGACTAAAAAAAATATAACCCGTAAAAAAAACCCACGTGGGGCGT